CGAACGCTTAGAACAGTTGTTATTCTAACACAAAATATATATGAGGGATAAACATTTATGGGATCAATTTGCTAATGCTTAAATTTGTTATAATATTTTAAATACCGATAAATTCGCCAAATTTTCATCACAAAGTTTAAACGCGATGAAAATTCAGACATACAAAACAGCTTGGATAATGTTAAATAATAAAATTAAATGATCAATTAGATTTTATTCTTTCTCGACTCTGACAGCCATATAGGTGGAACTGCAATCTATACATATAAATAAAATTGGAGTGTCTGTTTGTATTATTGAAATAACCGCTTTTTACTACATGCATATGAATATATATACGGTACATACACCAAAATAACATTTTTTACAATTTTAGTTTGTCTGTCTGTTTGTTTCGGCTAATCTCTGGAATGGCTGGACCGATTTTGACGGGACTTTCACTGATAGGTAGCTGATGATACTTTTTTTAGACTAGCTTCGCCCCGCGACGTCACCCGCGGGTAACATCGCTCCGCTATCAATAATAAAATTTCATGTTTCCGAAGCGAAGCGAGGGCGGGTCGCTAGTCAATAATAAAATTTAATGTTTCCGAAGCGAAGCGAGGGCGGGTCGCTAGTTTAAAATATAAAAGTACATGCCTACAAAATATATGAAGCTTGAAACAAAACTAAAAGCATTTAAAACATAGGTACTTACCGTTCTATCATACAAGATTTGTTCTAATAATAGATTTTAAGTATGCTATCGGTGTCAGTAAGAAATTCATAAAGGTGCTTTCAGACTACGCTATACTATAATGCCATATAGTATAGGAGCGTATACTTAGTCAATAATATATAGTACAGTACAGTGTGAACGTGTCCATATAACAATGTATGTATGGTGCGCGATATTGTTGTGCTATGAGCTATAACTATATGCTATTATATATGAAAGATTCTTAAGGCTTAAACGTGGTCATTGTAAAAATGAAAGTTCTTTGAAGTATGACTAGTTTTAATGAAATAAATAATTTAGCTTTTTTTTAATTAATTAACAATGGCATCTGTCTATTGACCTTTCTCAAGCGTACTGCCTACGTAATGCATGTAAATGTAGTTCTCGAAGAAACGCGAGTCGTGTTCTCAAAACAGTAATCTCTCTCTAGGTAATATCCTATACCTTTAAACATCAATTAGCGAATAATAATACTATTTTTCAAAATTGAGAGCAACTAACTGCTTTAGACACAATAACACTAAAGCTATTCCAGCAGATGGCGTTGTTAAGCCACCCGAAGCCAATTAGTGTTTAGTTTAAGGTTAGACCAAGAAAATGAATTGTTTATTTATATTATTTGTGTCTTTTTAACTCACGTGTTCACTTGAAAATGCCTAAACGATCTTAGAATATTTAATTATTTTATCAATATGTAATTCGTATTTAAATATAATTTTCAAAAAGCTCTATACAAAAAAAAATACAAAGCAAGGCTTGGTCATCGTCTAATGTACACTAGAGGCTCCTAAAATACTCATTATACATTTTTATACTACGCGATGTGCGTGATTTCCACCATCACTATAAACTCGTACCAAATTTGTTTCGACTACCACAACTACCAAGCTCGTGTCTGTCTACCTTGGTAGTTAGTTACCCTAGGCCCGGGAAGACCGTACTCACAGGTATCATCGCACGATCTTACATAATCGGTTTAGATTCTGAACCAAAAGACACGACCACCATTTTTTTATTTATTGCTTAGACGGATGAACGAGCTCACAGCCCACCTAGTGTTAAGTGGTTACTGGAGCCTATAGACATCTACAGCGTACATGTGCCACCCACCTTGAGATATAAGTTCTAAGTTCTCAGTATAGTTACAAAGGCTGCCCCGCCCTTCAAACCGAAACGCATTACTGCTTCACGGCGGAAATAGACAGGGTGGTGGGACCTACCCGTGCGGACTCACAAGAGGTCCTACCACTAGTAATAAAACCATTACTTCTGAAGGGATAGCAGTATTCAATGCAGCTGAAACTTCAACCGTGCCAAGATGTGGGTGGCAGTCATCAAGTTTATAAACAACTAGATACAGCCCATACTGCTGCTAATCAAAATCTTAATATGTACACATAGCGTGGAAAGCACATATTCTAAGAAATATTACAGATTAGGCATACTAATTAATATCAGTGACTCGGATTAATCTCGGGTTTATTATTTCTCAAGTTTGCAAAAATTTACAGTTTTGTTCGTCACGAACGATTCAATTTTTTATTATGGCAACGACTATCGAAAACCGAGAAAACAAAACCTATACTACACATTGATTTTAATGTGGGAAATATTTTAAACTCACAAAGTTACAGTGTATGGTATAAAATAAAAGACATATTATTATAGATAATAAATTAGTTTATTCGAAAATAAATACCACCATGTTTGTATGGATTTTCATAACTTAAAGTCAGGAATACAAAATTAAAATTAGAATCTATGTTTGAATATTGAATCGCGGGCTGATGGTGTTGCCAGGGCACTCAGACTTCGGGTCTTTGTATAACGGAAGCTTATTCCTTGAGAATGAGCTCTACGAAGGCGGTATCCAGATCGTCTCCGATGTCCTTGTATTTCTCCTTTTCGGCGACAAGTTCGTCTGAACATACAACAATCGATTTACGAGCCGTTTCAATTCGTTAATTTGTCAATATTGATTTTAAACAAAATAATATATTCTATCGCTCGGCTGCCACTTATACATCCTCACTGAAAATTCTTCTAAGTCAAGTTTGCATTAGTTTTAGCAGTTATAGTAACAGACGGAACTTTAGGCTTACACCAGTAATAAAGATTTAATTTCAAAACATCTCTTATTTGTAATTTAAAATTTATATTTTTCATTTCTGTTTGAGCGGTGTTCGCAGTTCACACACTCCCGGGAATATAATGTTGGAATTTTTATTAATGACACAATAGTCCTTATATCATCCTAGTACCGTCTGTCAGCGATGTAAAAGCAATGTTTATGAGAAGTAATTAAATAAAAATAAAACAATGCTTACGTGTTCAGTTCCTGTTATTTTGAAGCCATGCGAAGTTTTGCGATTACGTTATTCCTAAATTTGTCGCCACACAGGCAGATTTGACATAGTAAATTTTCCAATTAGCATGCAATTTCGTTAGGGAAGCGTCATGGAAAAGTTTTTTTTTTCTTTTTTTTTTTAATCGTAGATACAGGGTAACTGGCTTAAATGCACGTGAAAAGCGCTGCTAGTTTCGTGCGATCAGTGGCAGCAGGTGCAGCGGTCGCACGGGCGCGGCACGGGCGCCGCGGACGGTTGCATGCCCAGGTCCCTGAACGCGCAGTCCAGCTCGCCGCCGATCTCATGGAACAGCTCCTTGCTCGCGATCAGATCGTCTGCGGAGACTCGGCTGTTCACTACGCCGTCTCGATTAATATTAGTTTACACGAGCATGCGGGCGGGTATTCACTACCATCTATCTGCGTTTTTTTCCTTTTTATTTCAAATTAACTATTCCATCAGCTATGTTCTTAATTTTTTTTATTTTTACGATTACATCAAATACTTTAAAATATGTTATATAAAAATCATATCGCTTTAACCGAATACGTCATAGTCCAAATCGCGCGAGAATCGAAATCAAGCCGTCCAATGTAAATAATCAATTTAGGCAGCCGGCGTGTCCGTCGGAGCGGGAGCAGATTCAGGCGCGGGGGGCGCCGGCTCTGAGGCAGGAGCCGGAGCTGGCTCTGCGGCGGGCTCTGGTGCAGGTGCGGGTGCCGGGGCACCATCTGCAGCAGGGGCGGCAGCAGGCGCCGGAGCTGCTGCATCCACAGGTGCGGGAGCCGGAGCACCATCAGTTGGAGCAGCTGGTGCCGAAGCAGGGTCTGCAGGTGCAGCTGCAGCCGGAGCAGACGCGGTATCAGCTGGCGCACCTGCTGCCGGGGCTGAAGCGTCAGCAGCCGGAGCACCTTCGGTTGCGGGTGCTGCTTGTGGAGCTGGTGCCCCTTCGGCTGTTGGAGCTGGTGCCCCTTCTGGGGTTGGAGCTGGTGCTCCTTCGGCAGCCGGAGCCGGTGCTCCTTCCGCCGTTGGGGCTGCCGTGCCATCGGCAGTTGGAGCTGGTGCCCCTTCAGCAGGCGCAGCCGGAGCCGCAGCACCTTCACTAGTCGGAGCCGCTGGTGCTCCTTCGGCTGGAGGCACTGGGGCCGGTGCGCCATCTGCAGATGGTACTGCTGAAGGTGTTCCTTCTGCTGGTGGAGCACCTTCAGCCGGTGGCTGAGCAGGAGCAGTTCCTCCTTCAGCAGGTGGAGCGGCCGGAGCAGTTCCGTCTGCCGGCGGGGCTCCTGGTGCGGAGCCGTCAGCCGGGGGAGGCACACTGTCGGCAGGGGGCGCGGCGCCGTCTGCAGGCGGTGCGTCGGACGGTGTCGGTGCGGGTTGTGGCGGCGGGGTGGGTTCCTTGGGCGGCGGCGGAGGTGTGGGCTGCTTGGGCGGATGGAGGCGCTCGTACTCGCGGCGCGCGGCTTCGATCTGTCGCTGGTTGGGGTCGACCCCCGGGATGAGTTCGACGAACGAGTCGTCGATGTCGTCTCCGATGTCGTTGTACTTCTCAATCTCGTTGATGAGATCATCTGCGACAGGCGTTGTGGATGAGCCCCGGCCGGTCGGGCTGCTCGAGGGATGCGTTAGCACGGGGCCGCTCCATGCGATACTAGCGGGGACGATGCGAGGATCCGCTCATGCCCGTGCCTCGAACCATGGTTATGTACAATGCGCCGTATTTTCTCTCTAATTACTCTAATTCTTCGGTGTTTTTCATTTAGTTTTTATTCAAATGGTTTCAAATGGTTTTCCGAATGGTGCGGTAATGATAGTGGAGGTCATTCGATTTAAAAATGAAAAAGTTAATGATATATTTATAGCTGATAGAATCGATGAACGGTATTATCAGAACAAGGATAAAAAAGGTCACACAGGTTAGTAGAAAAACAACCAAATAAAAATAATAATACAATATATTTATAAACACTTGTGTTAGAATACTCTTAAAAATCATTAATTTATTTCTCACGAACTTATCAATTCATTAATCGATAACATTGTAAAGACGGAAATCCCTTGATAGTCATACGTAACGGTAGCGCTACTCCGTTACTACATCGTTTGTAGAAGAAAAGTCGCAGATGTTGCCAGCGCTACCGGCGATAAACTACTGTACTGTTCATATTTACAGCTCAGGAATACTCGTAATACCATCGATTAATTTAAATAAATAACAACAAACTCAAAATTATGACACAAGAAATGTTCATACTCGAAACAAAAATAGAATATCAAATACTTCATAGCAAGTATACTCCTATAAATATCAATATTTACGTGTTACCAACTCTCATTAAATAAAATTTCTAATCTCTTCCTAAGTGTTAAGTAAATTTCATTTTGCGATAAGTCGCAAACAAAAGTGCAAACCAATGTGTGTCTTGCTCGTTTGTGAATTTAATCTATTTCGCGAGAAATAAAAAAAATACAAACAGACAAATGCTATTATTAGGTTATTCCAAAACAAAATAACTCGTTTAGGCCTTTACGGAGAAACTGAATTATAAAAGTGCAATCTTTAAAATAATTCGAACTCACAATCAGCCGTCGCGCAAAAAATGCGTTTAAATCACATTTTGGTCCCAATATTGGAATGTCGAATGTAATTAAGATAATAACCGTGAGTGCCGTAAAAAAAGCGTTTGTAAGATAAAATAAAAATATTAAAACATCGATCATCGGCATACGCAGGCACGCTCGTAAAATAATGACTACATAGTATGCGAGATACACTCTCAAACAGTTATACGGAATAGTATTAGTATTAATTTCTTTGCGTATCAAAATTAAAAAAAAAAATTGCACTTGGCAGTGGCGTATTAAACACTCGGTATTTTGACGTTACATAAAAAAAAAGCGGCTGGCAATTACTCTAAAAGTAGTAACATCTAGAAGCCCGCTCGACTCCACTATAAGTCATTTCATCATTCATATGAAAGTGAATTAATATAAAAAATTCATAAGAAAAATAAAATTCTAAATAAACTATTAATCTACACAATTTTTTCCATAGAATGGTAGAAAAATATTTTCGGCAACCCTAAGCGATTAGTTGCGGAACGGGGAAGCCGAGCGGGCTAGTGAGGGGAGCGCGGTGTTCACATATTCTGGATGTCGTGGAGCGTGGCCTCCATCTCCTCCTGCAGGAGTTTGCTCTTTTCGCGCTCGGCCACCAGATCGTCTGCAAGATCGGACGCGGCCACGGGTCAGTCGCACACCACAACAAACAAACATCCAAACATAACCGTTGACAGTGACTAGCAAATCCAGATACAACAATCGAATCCATACATTTCTTTTTCATAAAAAAATTAATCACCAAAATTGCTGGAAACTACAGTCACCTGTCATGTGATTATATTTGAATCATACAAAACAGGCAGGCAACTTAAAAACAACATTTAAAAACCATGCCAATACACAATTGAAAAAACACCAAAGGTACGGTTTTCTAGTAGGTCGTATTTAACATTAAACCATGCTAACACAACTAAAGTAGTGTGTACAAAACTTTATTATAAAGTTTCATAGACACTACAACAGTAAACTAAAAATAAAGTAAATTATAAATAGAAAAAAACGTGAAGCTTAAAGAGAATTAAAGCAAAAGTAAAATTAAGCTCTCAAATATAGTACAGCATTTTAAATAATTAGGCAAACTCATTAAAACGGTTTTAAATGATTTTTTTAGTACAAGTACAATGTGTAATTAAGCACTTGTTACTTTTTTTAAAAGAGAACTCTGTTATTTGTACTTGACCATAGAGAGAATTTTTTCTAAACTTAACCAAACTGCTGTACGACGTTTACTGCTGTAATAACTGGATAACCTTGAAAACTAGGACCATTATAGAATCAAAGTTTATAATAGAAATTATTTGTAAAATGGAATTTAATTTTCAGGAAACTGCTAGCACAAAGCCCCGTAGAATTCAGTTACAATTAATTTACAAGCGCAGTCACTGTACGATGTATGTCTAAAAATATTGAAGAGAAATCTATGGTTTGTATTGCCAACAACAAATTTTCGAATTCCGAATCAAGATTCCACTAACATTTTGTATACTGCTTTTATAATCTAAAAAAAAAAGCTAGAGTTTCCTGAACATATTTATAATTCTTCTTTCGTTTTCCTTGTAAAATATCGTATATAATACAGTATAATTTACCTTCAAGCCTATCGACCTCCTTTTGCAGTTTCTGCACGGAACGCTCGGCGAACTCGGCACGTGCTTCAGCCTGAAATATTTTTAATACGACTTTTAAAAAAAAACAGGTTCGGCTTGTTTCGCAGTCTTTTTTCTGAATTTTAAATTCGTGGCCTACTTTCAAGTACTTAAAAGATGATGAGATAAAATCAAATTAAAGTGATTTAAACTATTTATGTTCGTAAGAATGTTTTTAATTGTATGTATTTAAAGTTAAAATGTTTTGCTATTTATAAGATTTATACAACTATAAAACAAATTCAAACACTATCATCTGCATTTAAATGTATTACTATTATATTTATGGAGCACATATTAATAAATTGTATTTGAATTGAAAAAAAAAGTTTTCAGAAAAAAGACTTCAAAAAAAATCAACATGCACTTTGATTAATAAATCTTTAACTGTCGACAAACAAAAAAAAAACTGACAACACATTGTCGTATTAATTGTAAAAATAAAAAAAATAATGAAACAGCTATATTACATAAAGCATTACGAATAATTGAACAAACTCTATACGTTTAAAGCGAAAAGTTCATGCATTTCATTTTACCTTTCCCAAAGCAGCTACGAGATGTGAACTCTACAAAACTAACATAATAATAAATAATATAAACCATTATCCAATGTAACTAACGACGTCACCGATTGAGGGCGATGACAACGACATATGAATATTAAATACTATAAAAAAACAGGGTGCTCTGGTGTAAAAAAATATACTGATTTGTTAGAATCTTGAACAATAACCGTGATTTTATTTTCAAACGGTTTCATCATGTTTTATATTTTTTATCTAGTGAAAAAAAGACAAGCAAACAATTATTGTTTTTTTGCTTTAAATACAGTAATACCGATAAAGTTTTTGTACTGTGTGTTTTGATAGTTGGCAACAATATGAAACATAGGCTAACCATAAAGTTTAGGTACCAGAGCTCCCGCGTTTTATTTGCAAACTTACTTGAGCCAATTTCTGCGAGAGGCTGTGGATCTTATCCTCGACGTGCTCGCGAGACGCCATCGCCTAGCCACACAGGACGGATTACTGACGGCTCGCCACCGGGACATGCCGACGTCTACGTTCAGACTGTACGCTTCTGTGCCCGTTCGCACGTGCATTTACCGTATTCTTGTAAGCGCTTTAGACGAACTAACCGATTTACGCGCGAAAATTCAAGCGAGACCGTTTCAATGGCTTATAACTTTACGCTTACGCGGTTTTAAAGAGGCCACTCGAACGATAACAATCTACGAGTGGCAACTGAATTAAAAACGCATCAGACAATCGATAACGGGATTAACGAAGCGTACAAACTCAACGCGAACGCCACTTACATACATGTAGATAATGAAATTTATTAACACATAGAAGGATTGGCAGATAAAAGAGGCAAAGATGAAGCACCAACCGCCGCCGTCAGCCGCGACTCGGGGCCTATACCCAAACGAATACAGCCTCACGAAGCCTATACCAAACTCATTACATACTATGCCAATTTAAAACAATTAAAATACAGGTGAAATTTTTAAATTAGCATACACAGCGTACCCGTCTACCTGGCAGACACAAGACTAATGAACATGGATCGATTCTACAACCGCAACCGAACTATCTACGGGCCCTCCGCTTCGGCTGTACGATTTACCTCTTTGAGTTGGGCGTCCAGTAGTTTAAGATGAGTTTCATATGTCTCTTCCCTTTTCGTCGCCTGGAATTATTATTTGCTTACGGAAACACAAAACAGCGAAAACGGTATCACTCATGCAGTAAGTACCCCCCACAGCGCCATCTTCGTTCTAAAACGATGACATTGCGGGGACACTCCGATAGATATATCAAACTGTACATTGTTAATGAGAGTAAACATGTAAACACAACAGCTAAACAAAATTTTGTAAGNCTCTTCCCTTTTCGTCGCCTGGAATTATTATTTGCTTACGGAAACACAAAACAGCGAAAACGGTATCACTCATGCAGTAAGTACCCCCCACAGCGCCATCTTCGTTCTAAAACGATGACATTGCGGGGACACTCCGATAGATATATCAAACTGTACATTGTTAATGAGAGTAAACATGTAAACACAACAGCTAAACAAACGTTTTTAAGAGAATAAAATCGGCCAGTTATACACGCACTATTCTCTGTGTAATTTGAATCATGCCGCTGGATTAAACGGAAAATCCATGGGCTACACTAGAGAAAAGATGCCGTGTGCGGTTAGAACAAGCATAAAAACACTCGCAAATCGACCGAGGTCGTTCATTTCACACCTCCTTCAGACGGGTGGTGAGGGTTTTGATCTGATTTTTGTACTCCTCTTCGCGTTGGTTGGCCTGCGTGGAACGGTACATGACAAGTTACATTACTGTTCACTATCATACATGTAAATAAGATCCAATTATTTTTTTGCCTAACAATTTTATATCCATGGCTGTACGTTTATTGTTCGACGAAGAATTAATTGTCTTGAGTAAATTGGTTGGTGCATCATAAAATTGGGACTGTAGCTTTGCAATATTTTGGGGACTTCTATAATCTAGCCTTGATCTTAAACTTATTATTAGGTATAGTTTATTAATGATTTACACATACCTTCTCCTCTGAGACTTCCAGAGATTTCAGGTTGTTACCAACGACACGGAGCTCCTCCTCAAGCTCAACGATTTTGCTGAAAGAAAAAAAGAGACCCCAATCAAATTTTCTCTGTAGCAACTATTTCGACATGTTTAGTAAGACTTCAAAATGAAAATAATTTGCACATCGATTTAACAGAAACGATTCAGTTGAATTGAAAATTTTTGATATTCTTACGTTTTGATATAAGTACGTTTTATTAAATTATTATTTTATTTTTATTATTAGGTCAATAATTCAAACAAATTATTCAAAAATTCGAGGTTACAACTGTTTGAAATTAAAGGCGGAATATGCAAAAGACAGTTTTCATTAAAATTAAAATAAGACTTGACTTAAAGGTCTGAGTTACCAGGTCATAAAATCCCTTAAAAATAAAATATTGTTTTGCTTATGTGCGGTAAACTAACTGTGGACTGGTACAAAGGCAATTTAGATTCAATAAAGCGAAACTCGGAAAAACTTACGTTGCCCGATTTGAATCGACTCGACTCAAATATGACTACAAATATATGTATTATAATTAGTGATTTATAGAACAAAACATGCAAAAACATATGACAAAGGTATTTATGCGAAATGAGGAGGATAACGTTTATAACGAAAATGATTCAGAACGTGTTATCCGGGCCGGTTTGTTTAATGCGACTAAAATACCTTTGACATAATGACATCTTTGATGTCCTTTATCAGCGTGTATCAGTATAGTTTCGAATGCACACAGATAAGAGCATAATGTGTCAAGCGATGAAATTCCTCATATAATTTCACTGATACACACATCTATAAGACTACTTTCATGCATCGATGATCTTTATAATGAATTCAATCTTAAGCTAAAAATAGCCAATGCGAACTATTAAAGTACTAAACCTAATAAGCGTAGTATGTTTGTAATTTTTTAATGCAATTTTTTTTATTTTTTTTATTTTATTTTTTTAGATGGGTGGACGAGCTCACAGCCAACCTGGTGTTAAGTGGTTACTGGAAACCATAGACATCTACAACGTAAATGCCACCACTACTTGAGATATGAATTCTAAGGTCTCAGTATAGTTACGACTAGCCCACCCTTCAAACCGAAACCTACTGCTTCACGGCAGAAATAGGCAGGGCGTAGGTACTTTACCCGTGCGGACTCACAAGAGGTCCTACCACCAGTAATTGCGCAAACTATAATTTTGCGGGTTTGATTTTTATTATACGATGTTATTCCTTCACCGTGGAAGTCAATCGTGAACATTTGTTGAGTACGTATTTCATTAGAAAAATTGGTACCCGCCTGAGATTCGAATACCGGTGCATCGCTTAACACGAATGCACCGGACGTCTTATCCTTTAGGCCTTAGGTATTCGATATTTGAAAAATATTTTCCTATACACCCTATCTCGTCTCGATGTGTGCATGTGTGTACTTACCAATCGCTTTGTTCGGCGCGTTCCTCCGCCCTCTCTAGGTCCTGCTCCATAAGAACAAGCTTGCGCGCCACCTACCGCCGGCCGAGCGTTAGTTCGCACGCACACATACACGCGCACACACGCACACACACACACGCTCACAAACAACACACACTAATCCTATCGAGCCGGACGCCGCTCTGTTCACTCGTACGCTTCTCCGGTGCAGTGCATACATTACAACTACGGATACTTCGAAGATCTTCCATAATAGTGAATGGTGCTTTAGTGCAGTGTGCTTAGTGCAATTTTGTATGCGGTTGGAACAGCGCCCCTAGCGGCAAACGTAGGCAAACGATTCCATACAAATATGAGCTAACTTTTACGCTATCGAAAACGTGACGTGACGTGAAAAAACTCGCACTAAGCACACAGGTCACGTAATTTACATTACAATTAATCAAAGTGCAAAAGGTTCTTGTGCATTTTAAGATTCGTTTAGCTTAAAAATATTTTAACCACTACATTGAAATCGTTAATTTCACAAAATACAGGTCGGCTTTGAAACTGATGAGCTACGTAATTTAGGCTGTAGGCGAAAATCTATTTAATTTAGGCCTTATATGCTAGGTGTAGTTCTGCCACAAAATAAAAGCAAAGCTCGTAGGTATATATATTCATCGGAAAATAAAACTAAAACAAAGCAAGCAGTCGAGAGCGGCGTCAGTACTCACTCGAAATAAAAATAATAATAAACGAGGGTTGTCCCAAAACATTTAACTTCTAAAATGTTAATATTTTCAAAAAAATACAAGTTTAATAATAATCTAAGTGCTATCTAGTGCATTATCAATATCGTTATGTGATGTGTGCGGTTGTATATGCGCGGCACGCATACGGCCAGTAATTCTGGTGTAATGCGGTGCATATCTGAAAACGAAAATTGCCCTATACCACACATATTTCCTGACATCCTAGCCTGTAACCACGTTTAGCTGTACACACACTGAAGACGGAAGTTTAGTCGGCACATGGACACGATAGTTAAACATAAGAAATATCCATGAGATGGGGCAACCCTTGTTTTAGTCTGAATCGGAGAGGATAGCATTATTTACCTACTTTGGTGACTGTAGGAAATAATGCTGACCTCTGTTTCTTATAATAAATAAGCGTCACCATTTCACGTGTGAATTAGTGACGCCGCAATGTCATGAATGATGCAAATTAAATTAAATCCTCCTAATCAGCTTGCAGCTCGTCGGCAACCTAGTAATGGACATGCAGAAAAAAAAAAAACAGTGAGAGCCGATGTTAGAAATACCTATGTAGGTAAATCGGGTTACAGTGCAGCAATGTTAAGAATGCAAATGAACAATCATGCAGAACGGCGGCGAAAACACGCAAAAAAAACGGCCTACGGATCACCACGTTAACGATCATTATCGCGTGACAGGCTCTAATGCTAGGCTTTAGCGAGACGAAGCGACGTAAACGCCATTGTCATTAGAGCCCGCACGAGGTCAATGTCGAGACGTATGGCGATCCTTCGGCGAAATGTATGGAAACCTACGATTCGCCGGACTCGGCACGCTCCTCGGCGCGCTCCAAGTCAGCCTCAACCATGGCCAGCTTACGAGCAACCTGAAGACACCACATCATATTAAACGACCGTAATCATATGAATTGTCAGATCATGCACAGATGCTATCCGTCCGGGCGTTGAGCAAGTACATCCGTCTTATATGGACGTATAGCTTATGTAACGACATTCGCGACGATGGAGACCTGTCCTCCCCTTTTAAGGCAAATGGCCCAAGATCGGGCCCGGTACAACTCCTTAATGGGACGGTGACTTTTACGTGCACCTTCACCGCGCAGGGTCATGTCAGGGGAATTGGGACGTATAATTGCAGCGGCGACCATATGGCGTAGACCTATTACCTACCTATCCAACGCATTACATGTCTTTCAATAAAATTAAAACTGGACATTTTTTTTTATCTAATCTTGATACGATAACGCGTCACACACAACATGGCACGAATCATTTATCAAGCAACATACTCACGATGACGAAAATCTTTATACATTACAAAACTCAACGCAGGTGATTAATAATTTTAAAGTTTTATTAGTTAAATCACAATTCAAATCCACGTCATTACATATATTAGTAAGATTATATCAATTTCTATTAATAAAACATAATATTCAGTCTGGAAATGGTTTAGGAATATGTTTAGCCGTCGTCGCTGTTGAAGAAAGTTAAAATAAACAATGATTTACAATCGTGACTCGCACAAACTCATGGAAACTGAGAATTAGAAATGCCAGTACAGTATCATACATATGGGGTCAAGTGGTAAGGCAGTGAGGAGGGGACAGGTTTTGCTATTTCTTTAAGCATGTATCTTTCTTGCTCTATGAGTAACCTGCCTCTCCCGTTGTGATATGATGAGCATCATGATATGCCCTCATATAACACAGACACGTATTTCTCATAGTTTTTTGAAACGGTGTAGGGTGTCTATGATCTTTGTGTACTTTTTAGAGACTTTGTCGGACTGCGACCGAGTGTCTCGCTGTATAGACACATCATCCGGACTGCGACCGAATCTCGTGCTATTTGGACACTTGGTCGGACTGCGACCCTAATGTTCCTGCTAGCTTTCAGTTCCCTCTCAGTTTCCTCTCAGTTATTAGCAAGTCATTTTGTATAGGGGGGAAAGCGGGACAAGCCAAACCAAACGACAACGAAACTCCCATATATAGACCTCATCGTATTTCTTGTCGGCCTCCTCAGCGAGGAACCTGGCTTCCTTCAGCTGATTTTCGAGGGCGTCCATGCGCTCCTCATCCGCCAACGACCTGTTCTCGAGCACCTTACGTGCGCTGGATACCACAACAACATACATAATAATATTGAGTATTCTCGTTACATATAAAAATCAAGAGTAACCCCAATAGTTAGAAGACATGCAAGATGACGAACAACTCAGTGATGCAAGGAACACACAAAGCAACAAACAAAACCGCTACCGCTGGAATCCGCTGTGAATAGAATTATCTTCGAAGCCAACAATGTGGTAATTACTGGTTTAATTTACTAATGAGGCTCATTGGTGACTTCAAAGATGTCGTAAGTTTTATCGATAACGTTGCACAAATGATGTTTCGTTCGATTTTAAAAAAAGATAAAACATTTATGCAACATTGACATATTAATTTGACATCAAGAACGTAATGTGTTTTATGCAATTCGTGTGCAACAAGTTACAAGAAATTTATCAAAAAAAAAAAAAAAAGAACCGGTATTACGTAATGTTCTTGATAAATCATTTATCTTGTACAATAAATCGTTTTGCGAAAGTTATTTTATACAACTGAGGGTAATTATTAAGTTAACTTTAAGCATGATTTGTGTAAATACTTGCAACTGAAAATATACTTATATTTTTAATACGAAACGATTTATTATAACACTTAAACATATCGTCGTTAATGCAGTATTCAACTCTTCGAACGTCGATATCACAAATAAATAATTTAAATTCTAATAAAATATATAACGTTGACCTAATTTGTCGTACGAGTTTTCATTATCACAATGTATAAATAAGTGAGATTGTACGTCATCGGAAAATACTGCACGTAACGAGAAAATCTACGTTACATTAGTAAGCAATCACCTCTTCGTATTTCTTGTCCGACTCCTCGGCGATGAGCTTCGCCTGTGACAGTTGAGCCTCCAAGATGGCAACGCGATCATCCTCCATGTTGGTGCGGTTCTCCAGCGCCTTGCGTATTCTGATTAGTGCGGGGCCAAACGACATGCGTGTTAAAACATCGATGATACACTCAACTACGAATACCGCATAGAATATTCGTTCTAGAAGTTTCTACCGTATTAAAGTAGGAACGGTGTGGTAGTTTTTTTTTTTGTTTTTTTTTTTAAATAGCGATCTCAAAACTAGGGTCAAGAATATTGTGGTTAAGGGCATAAAATATGAAGAAAAAAAACACATGATCATGCACACATTGAAAACGTATTAATCGTACTGAAATATATTTACAGCTTTATTTCTAAGGTAATTAAAAACAGATCCAATTATACCATAGATTTTGAAGAAGCCACATACTTGTCGTTGATGTAACTACTATGATGTTATAACGCGAATTTACTCAATACTGTATAAATATATTGGTATGTATATTTAAATAAATGCCAAATATAGTGGCTTCTGCAATATAATTTAACCCAGCAAAAAAGAAACAAAAGTGATATCGCAGCTTTGCTATTTAAAATACTTTATTTTTCAGCAAATAAAAATAAATCGATTACACACTTTTGTTTCCAAAATCATTTGAAAAAAAAACCAATAAGGATAGTGTCAAACTGTCGACCAGATTTATAATTTTGAAGATCACAATACCAATAGAATCATTAAAAATTTAATTGAGTTTAGTGATTTGTGAACCTTAAAATTAATCGTAGACCGAAGTTAAAAAAATATCAATAAGGATCTAAAAATCATGTATTTTTACCCGAATTTTTATATAATACTAGCTGACCCGGCAGGTCTCGTAGTGCCTCAATCAATAAATAAAAGACCTAAACTTTTGTATAAAATAAACTTAAAACAAACAAAAGGAATCCGTCCGACAGGGGACACATCAAAGGAAAAATAAAATTGTTATTTTTATTTAATTCCGAGCATTTTCATATTTATCTAAACCTTTTAAACCTTCCCTGGACTTCCACAATTAATTCAAGACCAAAATTAGCCCAATCGGTCCAGCCGTTTTCAAATTTTAAAGAGACTAACGAACAGCAATTCATTTTTATATACATAGAAGAAGATAGAAATAGATTTGCCACTATCCTTAGAAGGCGAAAGAATAAATCCACCGAGTCTGGTAAACTGGTACGGACTCACCGCTCGGATTCATCGGCGGCCTGGCTGGCCTCGGACAGCTTGGCGGTGGCGGTCGCGAGACGCTCCTCGGACCTCTCGAGGTCCTCCTCCAGCAGTTGGATACGTCGGTTCAGGGCAGCCACTTCGGACTCAGCCTGCACGACAACAAAATTTAATTAGCATTCTCTTTGTAGACCACATAGTCACAAAATCTGAAGTTTTTTTTTTCCTGCCTATTCTAGTAACCTCGAGGGGTTACACTACTTTCTGAGCGAGTAGGTGAGCTCACGGAGCTCTAACCTGGTGACGTTGCTAACACTGGCCCTAGCAAGAGCAGTGCTTCGCAGAATCTACCACCGGATCGGTAACGCTACCCTCTAAGAAGATCCGGCGAGAAACTCAGTGAACTGTGTCTGTGGGTTAATTTACTCGTCAAGCCCTTCGTCGCAAGCGACAGGTTCGACGAGAACGATGACCGGTGCTTGAGGTGCCTAAAGCAGCGTTAGTGGATCGGAAGGATCCGAAATGACGTGTCCGTGAAATATTCTAATTGAATCTATTAATTGCTGTAATCAAAAAGCTATTATTTTCGATTTAAGCGGCAAGTCATCCATAAACTTTTTTTTGTTAACTGTTCATTTTTTCCCCTACGTATTCACTGGTAGCCTAAGGGGCTAATTCAACTTTCTCCTTATTGGTTGCACAACAATCTCGTTTTTTTTTAAAAATCTTTATTACCATTAGCTGCGATTTCGTGCAAGCCTTTTGACTATTAAAGTCTGTCAAGATTTTTTTAATTTTAAATTTACCATTACCCTAAGCTCAAAACAGCAGCAACTTAAAAGTTTTCTTTATGTAAACCCAAATCAGTCTTCAGTGTCCCTATAGAAGACACTGAACACAATTATAATATCTACTTTTTAATTATTCTTTCAAACGTCGCCATATTTACTTTTGGTTAGGTTAATCTAAAAAACCTCGTACCAAATGTTTTCAAGATATTCAAGTAAAACAGGTATGTACGTTGAGAGAAATGTCGTTACATTCACGCCTTCGATAAGAAGTAATAAATAAAAATTATCTTTGTATGTCAATACCATACGTTAAAGTCGATTTAACTATTACTGTTTGAATTACCTTTTCACCTACTAATTGTGAATGATAAGCAAGTTAATTAAAATAATATAACTACATACTTTGTGAGTCAGCTGCTGACTACCTAATGATTTTATAATTAAACCTATTATTGGCTGATTGCTGTAATTAAAGGTCCATATTGAAGTTTCGGATATTAGACCTAGATACGATGAGGATACATGAAAACAAAATCAAAACTCTATCTGCTGTTTTTCGCGCAATCGTTCTTCCAAAGTAGTATATTATTACATATTTTTCATTTTCCCAAATCTTTAGCTTCCAAAAGTCATTTAAAAGGGTTTTAATGTCCAATAAACGAAATTGAACGCGCTCAACAGTGATTACAGAAAAATATGACCAACAATAACTCCCTTTAACCTATCTGAGTGGTATTTTGAAAACATTGCCCAGAATTCAGACCTAATAGACGTTGGCCTACTTATCGAAACATATTGAGCTAGTGTTCACTTCAGAGTTTATTTCCGTATATTTTCAAACACGATTTTGCCTTGAAATGTGCCATTGATTCCCATAGTCACCATTATGTCAATGCGTACCTATTCGGTGAGAAAAACAAACTAGAGATACACGAAATGTAAATGGGGTAATTATGCCATAAAAATAGTTCATAGACTATGGCGTAGATGAAGTATGACGTACTAAAGAACTGACGCTCGATTAGTGACTAGGTGATACTAGATAAAATTTAGTAAATTCCGTGGACATGTTGATTTTTAGCAGTCCCTCCCAAAAGTACAAAACATTTTCGTGAAGGACTAACCCAAATAAAATACAAAAACTATATGAGATAATTACATTTCAAAGCCTATACTTGATACGAATCTTCATTATCGATTGGTATCTTCAGAAAATTGTTTAGATTTTAACACTGGTTAGTAACAAGTCGTATATTAATAATAAGCGTCCGTTAAAAATGGTCCGAAACAAATGCTACATCGGTCATATGAATGCCCTCGTACAATCGACATTGTTCGACGTGGAAACATCATACGTGTTGAGAATTAAGCGAGCACCGAACGAACATTTTGCGTTACAAACTTTATATTCATAGTAATGCAATGTGGGTGACATCAGGCGGCCTTGCCGCTATGAAGCACTACACAGTCCCGGTTTCTCTTCCTTTTATCCTGTGTCGTCATCACATCTAATAATATACATGACACAACTAACAATCACGGTCGCACATTACCTATTTAAAGCAAAAAATACTCGATTTTAAGGAAAATCAGCCAATATACACAATATTGGACCGCCAAAGCAACGTTATTTGGCAATCATAAACTTAATTTGACAAGTTGTGTAGATTAATATCCAGACGTTTATTTTAGACGTATGTATAGTCATTAGCACGTCGAAATCACCTTGAACTCACAAAACATCATTTAAATCGAAGTGTAGTTAAGGATATTTTCAAAGCTCTCGGAAAAAGGTCATAGACCTTTTTAACCGGCTCATTGCTTACACAACGGAATTTTAAATCAGGTAGTCGATTTTATTTACGTGGGTACATCATGCGGATAAATTTAAAAATAGTAATTGATTGTAAACATGCACTTTCACGGAATAGTGACATTGTCTAATTTTTGGGATAGGCTTGGGCCGGTCAGCCCACCCATTGTAACGAACGGACACAAAAGCAATCCCTTTGAAAGCCCTACAAATTCTACAATGGTGTCACGCAATGGAGCACCGTATTTGGGTGGGCACTGGGCTTCGACGATGCTTTCTAAACGTAATCATACCTACGACATGACTACATTCTCATATTTTTACATGAATACCTCTATCCGTGTTTAGTTCAACTTTAAGTTCATAAATAATAAGGTCGAATATTGCGTTAGTATAATTACTAATAAACAACAAGAGAACTTTGAATTCAAAACAGTTTTACGTGGATCGATTGCGAGTTAATTTTTTTTCTCGTTTAATGGACCTCTAAGATCGTTAATTTAAACAATGTCGCGTATATAATTCCAATGTTATTATACACGCCCACAAATAATTTCTTTGAACTTCCACACAAAATTATTTTTGGTCTCCGATAATACGGTTTCAGACCTTTTATACAGTTTTAAAATTAAACAAAACGAAACAGTAAGTAGGTACCTAGGTATATCTCCACGAAATCGTGTTATCTTCTTTTCGATACATTCAAGGCGATAAGAAATAGTATGCTCTAAGAATTATATAGAAAAGGTATGACCTAAACTCGCATAATCAACGCCTATAAATGTTATAAAAGTTATAACAATGTACCTAATTAGACGATCATTCTTTAATGCAGTTTAACGTTGGTTCTCTATTATATTATTCAGTACACAGGTGTTCGTAATAGGAATGAACATCGTCGCTATGTTCAGTTACGTCATGTGGATGATAGCGCAAAGTAACACGGACACGCCTTCTCGGCGCCAAAGGTCCTAACGAAGAACAGGAATTTAAAGGGTGCTTCTCGATTCCAGTCGGTACGCTCTAAATGTGCCACAAAAGAACGGTAGACGGCCTCCAACGCAACTAAACCTGTTACTTGTAACATAAACTAGCATATAACCACTCCACAACCTATCTTAAGTAGGTTTTAAAAACATCTCATGAATCGAAATTTTACTTAGATACGACAGTTAAATTCCTTAATTGGTGTTTACACGATCTCAGGTCGTTCTCCAGAAAAAGAAAATTAAATAATATCCAATGTTAAGGATTATTATTTTTCGTCCCTTTCAAGGGGCCCCAAAACGAGATGAATCCGAAAGAGAGGTATATATGCGTACGTCGCCTGCACACCTATTCACCTAAGTATGGCCGGACATTACTCACTAGAGGTAGATAGCACAAGACTACTGATATCTCTCGTGGATAACCTAACTTGAACTACATATTTTACACATTTCATATGCAAAATAAAGCTATCCGCACACTTCACACAAAAATAACACATTTTCTTACTTCTTCTCTTCGCATAATTTCCACTTGCAACCGTTTGTGGTACTCCTCGCACTCGTCCTTATATTTTTCCATTTCCTCTTTCGTTTGACGCATTTTCTTCTTCAAAACGTCTAAAATCGTTCCTTGCTGCATGTTTGTCGTCATTTTGATTCACTTTTGTGTTAAAATCGAATGCTTAAACGCTAATAAGCAGAGACACCTTCGTCCTACTCGCGAAAATGCCAACTGACAGCCTCGCTCGTCGTTACTATTTCGTATCGTTGAGATGGGCTCGGCACGAACACAGCCGGCGAATAAAATGGCCGCCACCGAACTTGGACGCTACAAAAATATCGTTACCGCACTGATTACTGGCAACTATGTGTCACTAATTTCGCCCAACGAGCCTGCACTAACGATAATTATTAATTTATTTTTAATGCAATTAATATTTTCCACAACCACACATTCTTCCAAATCGTATTGACTTTGACAGCGGAACACGAGTAGTGAAACGTCACACCAATATGACGAAGATAAGCACAATTCTGATCGACCGTGCTGACTTCAGTGACCGTGGCTCCACCTGTTTTTGTTTATTGGAAACAGCATCCTGTAGGGTCAAAGCTGTAAGCTTCAACTAAATGCCGAAAAATAGGTGGGGCGAAACGCTACAGCGATCGGATACAATGGATATTGAATCGGATGTGGAATTCAAAAATAGTGAAGAGTTTAAATCCCACTTTTATTTCATGATCACTATGAGAAATATAGTTGAAGAAATATCAAAAAGCAAAGCCCCAAAAGCTCCCAATTGCTATCAACACAAAAATTTGTGAAAATTGATCATAATGTTTTAAAAGCTGATTTCAGTTCTCAGACTTGTTTTAAATACTGATAGCGCCATCTAGCGTGTTACTTGAGAACACATTGGACGAGATAGTACTGTAGTACAGTTTGCCGAGCTAAGTATTGAACAACATTCAATAATACCCATACCTCGAAAACTACCGATATTCTTATGACGTAGTTTGGAAAGTATGCGTCTGATTTAAATTCCGTTAAGTAACCTGCACTCAGACGAACACAAAAAATAACCACGCGGATAACTAAACTCATACTGTTACTCGGAGCAATGCTAAGTATGTACATATACTTGTGATTTTAGCCGGGCTATCCAAAATTTCCAGGTAAAGTTTTGAATGAAATGGGCGGTTTTTCGTTCGTTAAATCGATTTAGAGTAATAACATGGTGACTTCTGTCCAATTTAAGCTGAGAAGGCGTTTTCTTGGTCTACATTTTACGTGCCTACGAATTCTCGAAACAACGACGACTCGTATAGATTTCACGCGGCTGATTCATACTAGTGCATTTCAACACAATAATTATGTTCTGTATTTATACTCTAATTGTATCGCCCTTGAACGATTCGGTTACCTCTATTTTTTATAACAGAAACTGTTTAATAAATGATACTACATCGTGTTTTTGTTTTCCCTGCCTAATCGTTGGTAGCCTAAGGGGCTATTGTACACGCTGACTACATGCTAATCGGGAGATGAGCTCACAGGTTCAACCGGAGAGAATTGCTAACACTGGCCCTAGCAAGAGCAGTGCTTCGCAGAATCTACCACCGGATCGGAATCGCGACCCACTGTAAACACCTGGCGAGAAACTCAGTGGGTTGTCTCTATGAGATAGTTTGCACGTCGAACTCTTAGTCGTAATCGAACAGTTCGATGAGGACTATGACTACCACATTGAACAAACAAATTTACAGTTCCAAAATTAAATTGATATTAGTGTATACAATTTTCAATTCGATACGCCCCATTAAAGTTCTGTTCCGAAATAATCCAGTTAATTAAAAGATGTATGTAAAATTGCCTACTCAATATAATTATTTATTCGTTTATGTAAGTACTGCATAAAGTTACGACGTTTGTGTCAAAGTGAAATTAAATATCATTCATAACGTTAGCATTTAAAGTCAACAAGTGAAATAATCGTCTGGAAAGTTGGTCAGACGTCCAAAGCACTAGGTACGTTATATGGTCAAGAGACACGTTGTATGGTCAGGAGGTTGCGCTTTATCAACATGGTCATGACCAAAGACACTAATAACGTATCTATTAATGGTCGATCGTAAAGGGCCAGCAATATATTGAATATATTTAATTTAAAAAACTCCCTCAATTCGAAGAGTTTATTTTTTTTAAGGGAATATCTTTCATCAAGTGAATGAGTTCAAGGCCCACTTGTTCTTGAGGCGTCACTAAGGCTGATGATGATGATGATGATGATGGTCATCATCTTCCTATAGAAATACTGCTGGAGAAAGTCTTCTCCAATTGCAAGCCACTGAGCACGATACTCGGCATCTCTCATCCAGCTCACAGCAGCCAGCCACCCTGCATAGATCGTCACTACACCGAGCCTGAGGGCTTCCTACACTACGTTTGCCAATTCGCGGTCTCTACTCAGGAATACGTTTACCCCAACAGTTATCAATGGTAGTCCAGCTAATATGACCCATATACGTCACAAACGCCACCGTCCACCTTAAGATAAGAGATGGAAACCTCAAGTTTCGTGTGATGAAAAAACCTATTCAAATCGAACCGACAACGGATGTGACTGACATATTCAAACAAAGGTCCGAGTTTCCTTTCTTTAAATCAACACAAAGCCTACAACTAATGCCAAACTCATGCACATAAATTATATTATAGATTATTCTATACGTTTCAAGTCACCGCAATAGTTTTCTTCATGAATGATTTTAAATCGACGTATTTATGCCACTGGAAAGCGACGTTAATACAAATTCCAATTGAACCAGTTACAATTGCTTTGCAAAAAGCATTATTACAGCTATATTTTGACGTTGATATCGCGTGTACAATTCGGATTTCCATTCTACAAGCTAGTAAGGATTACATCAGTGAAGTATACGAAATATCGTTAGGCAACTGTTCGAATCAGTTTTAGTGTTTTTATTAAATACTAGAGGTCCCGCAGTAGTCGAATTTCGACTATAATTAATTGGAATTGTAAGTTTGTAAACTATTATGATTGTATTTTATACTTCTATAATCACAAATTTCGCCAAGACTACACTATAAAAAATATTAACAAAGACAAACAATATTTAATCTATTCTCAATTTGACAACAGACGTCAAGAACAAAAGTTTGACAATAAATAGTATGCATGCGTGCGTGCGTCAAATACATGGTATGTAGTGTGTGTAATGTTTTCTTTATTGATTTAATGTATCTTTTATGCATTATTTAAAAAAAATATTAGCGTTGTGCACTTCTCTATATTCTCTATAAGTGTGGAAAATTTCATACTCCTCCGTCCGCGCAATTTTCGTAAAAAGGGATACAAAGTTTTTCCTTCACGTATTAATATATAGATTTCGATTAGGCATAAAAATAATATTTCTTTCGATTTAATTAAACGAATGGGTTTTAATTTTTAAATGCCTAAAAATAGTTGACATTGTAATCTGAAGCTTTGGGGATAATGAAATCTTCTGATACTTTATTTCGTAAAAAGTTTTTGTTGATAACGATCACAGTATTGTGATTTGTAAAATTATTTCTTGAAAGTCACATAAGTGATGAAATTTCTGATATAGATATGTATATGTAAACTAAAACAAAAGAAACACCTGAAACAAGAAGGCAATGTTATGATCGCTTTTATGTATTAAACACTGAAGCGATTTCTATGTAATAGCAAATTTAAAAAAAAAACATTTTTAATTCATTCATTTTCAATTCATTTAAAAAATTCAAAGTTCGGAACAATGATGTGCTTAATTCCGTTTGGATCTTCACGTAATATGGCAATTAATTCAGGGCCACGCATACAGGAGAACCATTAGACCTGTCATTGTAAATAATCAGAAAGCACGTCAATTAAGCAACATCTAAATAAACTGCACACAAAAGAAATGCACACGATAAACAAGTCATGTTGGGTCACGCATTTAGATAAAACCTCAATGAGTAATTATTTTACACTAGATAAAGAAGCGGGCAGAATCGACAGACATCTCATCACAACGCGAATAAATGTTGTGATAAGTCAAAATGTCAATTGAATTGTGTACCTAATTAATGTTCTATCTTTCAGAGCAGAAAGTGTGTATGACGTGCCCACAAAATGTTTATTTTCTGTCCGTTTTTTTTTTTGTTATTATTGCTTAGATGGGTGGACGAGCTCAAAGCCCACCTGGTGTTAAGCGGTTACTGGAGCCCATAGACCTCTACAACGTAAATGCGCCACCCACCTTGAGATATAAGTTCTAAGGTCTCAGTATAGTTACAACGGCTGCCCCACCCTTCAAACCGAAACGCATTACTCCTTCACGGCAGAAATAGGCAGGGCGATGGTACCTACCCGTGCGGACTCACAAAGAGGTCCTATCACCAGTAATTTTATAGCGATATGTTATTCTTTCATAGAGGAAGTCAAGTTTGGGAGCGACTTGTTTGTACCCTCACATTTCCTGAGCAGTGATAACAATTAACTATCCACTAGGCCCGCAGTCTGCTTGGTTTTTATCGGTAAAATTCTTCTGTTTCAAGGTTCAAGATGTTTGCAATCGGCGCTCACTGAACTTGCGTAATTAATGGGTATTCAAACTAATTATGTAAATTAAACTCACATTCGCGCCATTTAGATTTAAAAGTTGAATCAAGTTCGGAAAATTCGACTTATAAATCTATTCATGCCAATGTATAATTTTGAATAAAGCAGGTTAGCAGGTTATCGTCTTTTTAATTATTTTAAATAAATCGGTTAAAATATATTGTAGTTACAAAAAATTTGATGCAAAAAAAAAAATCTAATTATACTGCAAATTTTAACAGCGCAAAACATTCTCTACATACACGTCTACAACGTGAATAGGTAATATTTTCGAAAGTTGCACAGAAAAGTAAAAACTGCAATAACAGTAGTTGGTTGGCTTAACAGCGATTTCGTTTTCAAGACTATTTCATAATTAATTGTAATGTACAGCGGAAACGTTATGAAGGCATTAAATTCATTATCTAATGTTGTTTGGTAGGTTTATATTATCACCAGTCGCTGGATATTGTCAAGTAAATACTTGAGATAGCAACGAGATAAATTATATACTTTTAACTACATTAGGCTATTCGACCTTCATTTTAGAAGTAATTCTTTTTTGTGTTTTTTTTTATTCATAGTAATACTTTTAGTTGAAACAATAAAGGGCTAAAAGTTGACTGTTAAGGTCCACGTGTACTGGTCGGTGGTCGCGACATCTAGCAGCGTGTTTTGTAATCCTTCAAGTAAACATTTCAACAGAAATGTCAGGCTCAGCTGATCGACTCGAGCGAGATTCTCTCGGTGGAGCAGCCTCGCTTTCCAAGCGAACGTGATTAAAAATAGTTCTGTGCGCATTTGGCCCACGCTTGGATTACTCATACATCTAACTAACTCAAATCATATAGAACATTACCCTTTTCAGCGCAGTATTCTTTATGTTCTGCAACTCATTCTTGATGATGGAAAACTTCATCATAGTGTCTGAAGAAAATATTGAACTGCCAAAGGCGAGACCGGGATAATCAGCGCATCTTCTTCGCCGCCTGTTTTCTCTTTCGGCCAAGACCTCGGTACATTCACTAGTACATCGAAGTTTTGCAAGTTCTACAGTTTCAGGGTCATCATCGGATATATCAGAAGGAAGCGCGGCAACGATAGCTTCCGCGCCGTCTCCTGCAGACCTTTCTTCAAACGAGAATTCATCGTCTAAGCTATCTAGAGAATCAGTACTCTTAACCCTATCTAATTCGTTTTCTTGTTCATCATTCGCACAGTCCTCGGCTACAGTAAGATTCGAATTTGAAAGTGCATCGTCACTATTCGTCCTTGTCACCTCTTGAGATTCACTGACACTATTGACACAAGGCACAACATCGTCTGTTTGAGTTAAGGTCGTTCGCGCAGACGGCACGGGGTCGGGATTCGTGGCGGGGGCGGGTTGACGGTCGCCCCTTAAACGCGGGTGGTGTTGGTGCCCCCTGCGTCGCACGGGGGTGCGACCGTGGACGTGGGGTGCGGGCGCGGACATCACTACACTAGCCGAGCTGCGTCCGGCCGCGCAGCGCCCGCCGCCATGTTGACTGAGTGTCGCTCGTGGCAACAGCTCCGAGACGAACACTAGCGCCATCTTTTTATTTTCCCGTGCTGTTTTAACGACTAACCAACTATACGCATGACCGACGCTAAGCGCGCGTAAAATTTGTAAATACGAATACGAAATTGTTTAGATGTAAACAAAACATAACACCTCTAATAGAAAACATAAAAAATGTATACGTATACGTGCGTAAGTGTCATTAATATTATTAATCACTTGTTCACTAATAATCACGTATTCATTAAAGTGATAAGTAAAAACATCATTGAATAAACTGTATCAGTTCCATAATTTATTCAAAATAGGCATAAATACATGAAGCCGATTTCTATAACCGTGTCGGCCATTGTACGTGTTGATTTATTATGGTAACTGAAAAAGTCTAAAGCCTATTTAAACAAGTGGTCACCGTCAGTCGGGAGCTTCAGCAATGCTGATGGAAATAGCCCAGTCAAGCTTCCACTGATTACCTTTCAATTTTAAAAGACGTCGTGGCCTAAAGGATAAGACGTCCGGTGCATTCGTGTTGAAGCGATGCACCGGTGTTCGAATCCCGCAGGCGGGTACCAATTTTTCTAATGAAATACGTACTCAACAAATGTTGACGATTGACTTCCACGGTGAAGGAATAACATCGTGTAATAAAAACCAAACCCGCAAAATTATAATTTGCGTAATCACTGGTGGTAGGACNCAGTAGTCGAAATTCGACTATAATTAATTGGAATTGTAAGTTTGTACACTATTATGATTGTATTTTATACTTCTATAATCACAAATTTCGCCAAGACTACACTATAAAAAATATTAACAAAGACAAAAAATATTTAATCTATTCTCAATTTGACAACAGACGTCAAGAACAAAAGTTTGACAATAAATAGTATGCATGCGTGCGTGCGTTAAATACATGGTATGTAGTGTGTGTAATGTTTTCTTTATTGATTTAATGTATCTTTTATGCATTATTTAAAAAAAATATTAGCATTGTGCACTTCTTCTCTATATTCTCTATAAGTGTGGAAAATTTCATACTCCTCCGTCCGCGCAATTTTCGTAAAAAGGGATACAAAGTTTTTCCTTCACGTATTAATATATAGATTTCGATTAGGCATAAAAATAATATTTCTTTCGATTTCATTAAACGAATGGGTTTTAATTTTTAAATGCCTAAAAATAGTTGACATTTTAATCTGAAGCTTTGGGGATAATGAAATCTTCTGATACTTTATTTCGTAAAAAGTTTTTGTTGATAACGATCACAGTACTGTGATTTGTAAAATTATTTCTTGAAAAATCACATAAGTGATAAAATTTCTGATATACATATTATTATGTGTAAACTAAAACAAAAGAAACACCTGAAAAAAGAAGCAATGTCGTGATCGCTTTTATGTATTAAACACTGAAGCGATTTCTATGTAATAGCATATTTCAAAAAAACATTTTTAATTCATTCATTTTCAATTCATTTAAAAAATTAAAAGTTCAGAACAATGTTTGCTTAATTCCGTTTGGATCTTCACGTAATATGGCAATTAATTCAGGGCCACGCATACTTGAGAACCATTAAACCTGTCATAGTAAATAATCAGAAAGCGCGTCAATTAAGCAACATCTAAATAAACTGCACACAAAAGAAATGCACACGATAAACAAGTCATGTTGGGTCACGCATTTAGATAAAACCTCAAAGAGTAATTATTTTACACTAGATAAAGAAGCGGGCAGAATCGACAGACATCTCATCACAACGCGAATAAATGTTGTGATAAGTCAAAATGTCAATTGAATTGTGTACCTAATTAATGTTCTATCTTTCGGAGCAGAACGCGTGGAAAAAATAGAAAATTTCGGTTTTGCGTGCCCACAAAATGTTTTTTAAAATTTTTTTTATTGCTTAGATGGGTGGACGAGCTCACAGCCCACCTGGTGTTAAGCGGTTACTGGAGCCCATAGACCTCTACAACGTAAATGCGCCACCCACCTTGAGATATAAGTTCTAAGGTCTCAAGTATAGTTACAACTTACAACGGCTGCCCCACCCTTCAAACTGAAACGCATTACTGTTTCAGGACAGAAATAGGCAGGGTTGTGGTACCTACCCGTGCGGACTAGGGAGGTCCTATCACCAGTAATTTTATAGCGATATGTTATTCTTTCATATTGGAAGTCAAGTTCGGGAGCGACTTGTTTGTGCCCTGACATTTCCTGAGCATTGATATAACAATTAACTATCCACTAGGCCCACAGTCTGCTTGGATTTCATATGTAAAATTCTTCTGTTTCAAGGTTCAAGATGTTTGCGATCGCCGCTCACTGAACTTGCGTAATTAATGGGTATTCAAACTAATTATGTAAATTAAACTCACATTCGCGCCATTTAGATTTAAAAGTTGAATCAAGTTCGGAAAATTCGTCTTACAAATCTATTCATGACAGTGTATAATTCTGAATAAAGCAGGTTAGCAGGTTATCGTCTTTTTAATTATTTTAAATAAATCGGTTAAAATATATTGTAGTTACTAAAAATTTTATGCAAAAAAATATATCTAATTATACTGCAAATTTTAACAGCGCAAAACATTCTCTACATACATCTACAACGTGAATAGGTAATATTTTCGAAAGTTGCACAGAAAAGTAAAAACTGCAATAACAGTAGTTGGTTGGCTTAACAGCGATTTCGTTTTCAAGACTATTTCATAATTAATTGTAATGTACAGCGGAAACGTTATGAAGGCATTAAATTCATTATCTAATGTTGTTTGGTACGTTTATATTATCACCAGTCGCTGGATATTGTCAAAGTAAATACTTGAGATAGCAACGAGATAAATTATATATTTTTTAACTACATTAGGCTATTCGATCTTCATTTTAGAAGTAATTCTTTTTTGTGTTTTTTTTTATTCATAGTAATACTTTTAGTTGAAACAATAAAGGGCTAAAAGTTGACTGTTAAGGTCCACGTGTACTGGTCGGTGGTCGCGACATCTAGCAGCGTGTTTTGTAATCCTTCAAGTAAACATTTCAACAGAAATGTCAGGCTCAGCTGATCGACTCGAGCGAGATTCTCTCGGTGGAGCAGCCTCGCTTTCCAACGAACGTGATTAAAAATAGTTCTGTGCGCATTTGGCCCACGCTTGGATTACTCATACATCTAACTAACTCAAATCATATAGGACATTACCCTTTTCAGCGCAGTATTCTTTATGTTCTGCAACTCATTCTTGATGATAGAAAACTTCATCATAGTGTCTGAAGAAAATATTGAACTGCCAAAGGCGAGACCGGGATAATCAGCGCATCTTCTTCGCCGCCTGTTTTCTCTTTCGGCCAAGACCTCGGTACATTCACTAGTACATCGAAGTTTTGCAAGTTCTACAGTTTCAGGGTCATCATCGGATATATCAGAAGGAAGCGCGGCAACGATAGCTTCCGCGCCGTCTCCTGCAGACCTTTCTTCAAACGAGAATTCATCGTCTAAGCTATCTAGAGAATCAGTACTCTTAACCCTATCTAATTCGTTTTCTTGTTCATCATTCGCACAGTCCTCGGCTACAGTAAGATTCGAATTTGAAAGTGCATCGTCACTATTCGTCCTTGTCACATCTTGAGATTCACTGACACTATTGACACAAGGCACAACATCGTCTGTTTGAGTTAAGGTCGTTCGCGCAGACGGCTCGGGGTCGGGATTCGTGGCGGGGGCGGGTTGACGGTCGCCCCTTAAACGCGGGTGGTGTTGGTGCCCCCTGCGCCGCACGGGGGTGCGACCGTGGACGTGGGGTGCGGGCGCGGACATCACTACACTAGCCGAGCTGCGTCCGGCCGCGCAGCGCCCGCCGCCATGTTGACTGAGTGTCGCTCGTGGCAACAGCTCCGAGACGAACACTAGCGCCATCTTTTTATTTTCCCGTGCTGTTTTAACGACTAACCAACTATACGCATGACCGACGCTAAGCGCGCGCAAAATTTGTAAATACGAATACGAAATTGTTTAGATGTAAACAAAACATAACACCTCTAATAGAAAACATAAAAAAATGTATACGTATACGTGCGTAAGTGTGATTAATATTATTAATCACTTGTTCACTAATAATCACGTATTCATTACAGTGATAAGTAAAAAACATCATTGAATAAACTGTATCAGTTCCATATTTTATTCAAAATAGGCATAAATACATGAAGCCGATTTCTGTAACCGTGTCGGCCATTGTACGTGTTGATTTATTATGGTAACTGAAAAAGCCTAAAGCCTATTTAAACAAGTGGTCACCGTCAGTCGGGAGCTTCAGCAATGCTGATGGAAATAGCCCAGTCAAGCTTCCACTGATTACCTTTCAATTAAAAACGAACTATCTACATTACCAACTATCTTAATGTTTACGGAAAGTTTTGTTGTTTAAATCTAAATCTGTAGATGAGAGCAGCTAGTCAGGCGTCTATTTATATCGAAACACCGGGCATCGGGCCCATATTAGGCGTCGAGCGCCGAAAATAAACGGGAGCACAGAAAGCAGCCCCCTGTGGATCGCGAAGCAAACGCATTCAGATTCAACTATAGCACGTAATCATCATTGATATTTCTCAAGAAACTATTTTAAATATAACGATATAATCTATACTAATATATCTATTACAGTGGTTTTTACGGATGTTCCGTTATAACTACTGAACCATGCAGCCGATTGACTTAAAACTTGGTATCCATGTAGAGAATACATGTACTTAATGGATAGGCTAATATTTATATGAGTGTTGTACTCCATACACCAGTTGCGGGGGCGTTAATGACGAGAATCTTTCTGGGGGTGAGAAATAATAATGTTAATTTTAAATGTCCAGCGAAGCGGACGGGTACAGCTAGTATAATATAAAATATAACGATATTTTTGAAAACAATAAATCAATAGGTGTTATTAGGTAACTATAGCTATTGCACAGACAAAAAATGAAATGTGTTCAATCAAAAAAAATAAGGCTACTATTTTTGTTAGGTCTCTGTGGTGCAATTTCATGGATTTCATTATAATTTAATCATAAGTGA